TCACTGATAGTGGTACCCTGGATCTCAGCCAACCTCCTCTCCATGATCCACACTGTTCTGATGACCCACTTGTCCTTTTGCACCAACAGGATCCCACACTTCTTCTGCGACCTTAATGCCTTGATCTCCTGCTCTGACACACAAGACATCAAGATGCTGGTGTTGGTCCTTGGGGGCCCAGTGATTCTGGTCCCTTTTGTCTGCATCATGGCCTCTTACACACCTATCGCTATGGCTGTGTTGAAGGTGCTTTCAGCCCAAGGAAAGTGGAAAGCGTTCTCCACCTGTGGCACTCACCTTTGCGTGGTCTGTCTCTTCTATGGGACTATCATTGGTGTCTACTTCAAGCCCACATCCGCACATGCCACCCAAATGGACATGGCAGCTACTGTGATGTACAAAATTGTGGCCCCCATGCTGAACCCCTTCATCTACAGCCTGCGAAACCGAGATCTGAAGGGCGTCTTCAGGAAACTTTGCCAAGCCTCTTTGAAGAAGTTTTAGATCCGGTTCCTCTTGAAATAAACTAATGCTAACCAATGCTAGGACTCGGGGTAGTTTTTCTTTTCCCTTTTTCTTTTTAAAGGTAGAAATAAATTTTTTATTATTCATGCAAGTATTTTGTTTTTAAACTGAGTATACTTGACATATATCATTGTGTAAATTTAAGGTATACAGTGTATTAATCTGATATGTTTATGTATTGTGTTTACGATTGCCGTCGTAGTGATATTTAGCACCTCTGTTCACCTTAATTATCGAGATAATTAAATTTTAGTCTTTTAGCAAGTTTGATGACTATAGTACAATGTTATTGTCTATATTCATGATATCGTATATTAGATCTCTATGGCTTATTTACTACTTGTTGTAAGTTTATATCCTTAAACAAGATCGATCTTATCCCCCAACCACCATCCCCTGATAATCACCATTCTGTTTTTTTTACGAGTATGACTTTTTTAGATTTCACATATAAGCGATATCATACAATACTTGTCTTTCTCTGTCTCATTTATCTCATTTAGCATAATGTGCTTAAGGTCTATCATGTTGCAAGTGGCAGGAGATCCTCCTTTCTCATGGCTAAATAATATTCCGTTGTACACGTATATCGTATCTTCTTTATCCATTCATCTGTTGATGGGAATTTAGGTTGTTTTCCTATCTTAGCTATTGTGAATGATGCTGCAATAAACATAGGAGCACATACATCTCTCTGAAATTCAGTTTTCATTTCCCTTGGATATATACCCAGAAGTGAAATTATTGGATCATATGGTAGATATATATATTTTTTTTTCTTGACATTAAAAAAATTTATATTCTATTTTTTAATTACAGTTGATATACAGTAATTTATTAGTTTCAGGTGTACAACACAGAGATTAGACATTTATATAACTTATGAAGTGATCACCTGGATCAATCCAGTACTCATCTGACACCATACATAGTTCTTACAATACTACTGACTATATTCCCCATGCTATATACTCTACATCCCCCTAAACATTTTGTAACTACCAATTTTTACCTTTTAGTCCCCTCCCTCCTTCACCCATCCTCCACCCCCAATCTGGCAACTATTAATATGCTTCCTGTATCTATGAGCTTGTTTCTGTTGTTTGCTTGTTTATTCCATTCTCTAGATTCCACATATAAGTGAAATCATATAACATTTGTCTTTCTCTGACTTCTGCACTTAGCACAATACCCTCTAGGTCCATGTTGTTGCAGGTGGCAAAATTTCATTCTTTTTTTTTACAACTAAGTAATATTCCATTGAATATATATAACACTTTTTTATCCATTCATCCACTAATGGACACCCAAGTTGCCTCTATATCTTGGCTATTGTAAATAATGCTGCAATGAACATATGGATGCACAAGTCCCTTTGAAATAGGTCTTTGGGTTTCTTTGGATAAATACTCATAAGTGGGGTTACTTTGTCTCTTGTTACAGCCTTTGTTTTAAAATCTATTTCGTCTGGTATTAGTATTGCTACCTCCAGCTTTCCTTTTTCCATTTCTGTTTCCATGAAATACCTTTTTCATCTCTTTACTTTCAGTCTGTGTGTGTCTTTTGATCTAAAGTGACATCTTCTAGGCAGCATATGTAAGAGTTTTTTTCTTACCCATTCAGTCACCCTATGTCTTTTGATTGAAGTATTTAAGCCATACATTTAAATTATTTATTCCTAATATGAAGTTATTACCATTTTATTATTCATATTTTTTACTTTTCTTCTTCTTAAAGAAATTCCTTTAACATTTTTTGTAATACTAGTTTAGTGGTGATGAACTCCTTTAGATTTTTCTTGTCTGGAAGCTCTTTATTTATCCATCAATTCTAAATGATAGCTTTGCTGGAAAGAGTAATCTTGGCTGCAGGTCATGCTCTTCACCACTTTGAATCTCTTTTGGCTTGCAAAGTTTCTGTTGATAAATCGATTGACAGTCTTATGGGTGCTCCCTTGTAGGTAACTAACTGCTTTTCTCTTACTGCTTTTAAGATTCTCTCTTTGTCTTTATCTTTTGGCATTTTAATTATGATGTGTCTCGGTGTGGGCCTCTTTGGGTTCATCTTGGTTAGGATTCTCTGTGTTTCCTGGACTTGTATGTCTATTTCCTTCACCAGGTTAGGAAAATTTTCTGTCATTATTTCTTAAATAGTTTTCAATTTCTTACTCTCTCTTTTCTCCTTCTGGAACCCCTATGATGTAAATGTTAGCATATTTAATGTTGTCCCAGAGGTCCCTTAAACTATCCTCATATTTTTGGATTCTTTTTTCTTTTTGTGTTCTGATTGGATATTTTCTGACACCTTCTTTTCAAAGTTGCTGATTCATCTAATCTACTGTTGATTCCTTCTAATATATTTTTTATTTTGGTTTTTGCAGTCTTTATTTCTGACTGTTTCTTTTTTATGTTTTCTATTTCTTTTTGAAGTTCTCACTGAGATCATTGAGCATCTTTATAACCAGTGTTTTGAACTCTGCATCTGAAAGAGTGCTTGTCTCCATTTTGTTTAGTTCTTTTTCTGGAGCTTTGTTCCGTCCTTTAATTTGTGACATGTTTCTTTGTCGCTTTGGCTGCCTCCCTGTGTTTGTTTCTATATATTAGGTAGAGCTGTTATGTCTCCTGGTCTTAGTAGAGTGGCCTTATGTAGTAGGTGTCCTATAGGGCCAAGTGGCACAGTCTCCCTGATTACCTGAGCCAGGTATTCCAGCTGTATGTGTCCTTTGTGTGGGTTGTATGTGCCTTCCTGTTGTAGTTGCTCCCTGTATGTCCCTGGTGCCTTTCAAGCTGCTGCCCCAGTGCTGGAGCTCAGAGTGAGTGAGTCTATCAGTGAATGAGTCCATGTGAAGGCCCTTTAAGAGGAATACCTGGTAATACAGCAGCCCCCTATCTCACTAAGCCACAAATTCTGCTGGTTTTCACAGCCAGAAGTTGTGGGGACTTCTTTTCTCAGCACTGGAATCCTATGCTGTGGAGCCTAATGTGGGGCTGGGACTCCTGGCTCCTCCAAGGGGGACTTCCACACTTGAGATATCCCTACCAATTTTTAACCACCACACATGGCTGTGGGACCAGCCTATTCCTCATCTTTGCCCCTCCAGCCAGTCTTGATGTGGCTTCTTCTGTATACCCTTAGTTATAGGACTTCCGTTCAGTAAGAATTCAGGTGATTTTCACTGATGGCTGTTCTGTAGGTTAGTTGTAATTCTGATGTAGTTGTGAGAGGAGGCGAGCATGGTGTTTACCTGCTCCACTATCTTGACCAGAACTCCGGTAGATCAATTTTTACTTTTTTGAGGAACTTCCATACTGTTTTCTGTAGTAGCCATACAAATTTACATTCCCATCAACAGTGTATGAGGGTTCCCTTTTCTCCACATCCTCACCAACACTTGTCTTATTATAATAGTCATTCTAACAGATGTGAGGTGATATCTCATTGTGGTTTTGGTTTGCCTTTCCCTGATGATTAGTGATGTTGAGGACTTTTTCATGAACATTTTGTCCATTTTTATGTCCTCTTTGAAAAAAAGTTCTATTTAGTTCCACCCATTTTTAATCAAATTGTCTTTTTTGTTGTTATTAAGTTGTCTGAGTTCTTTACATATTAACCTCTTATCTGATATATGATTTGTAAAAATTTTCTCCTGTTCTGTTGGTTGTCTTTTCATTTCATTAATTTTTTCTTTTGCTGTGCAGAAGTCTTTAAGTTTGATGTAGTCTGACTTGTCAATTTTTGGTCTTGTCGTCTATGCTTTTGGTGTCATCCAAAAATCGTTGCCCAGACCAATGTCAAGGAGCTTCTTCCCTATATTTTCTTCTAGGAATTTTATTGTATTAAGTCTTATGTTTAAGTCTTTGATCCATTTCCAGTTAATTTTTGTGAGTAATGTAAGATAGAGGTTAATCTCATTGTTCTGTGTGTGTTTATCCAGTTTTCCCAGCACCATTTGTTGAAGAGACCATCCTTTCCCCACTGGATTCCCTCGGCTCCTTTGTTAAATATTAACTGAAATTGAAAGCTTTTCATGGTGGTTTTTCTTGGCCCATGGATACAACATTAATTTTGTTGTGAAATAAAACTGCTTTTAAACAAATAATGTCTTTTTAAAAAGCTAAAACTCAACCTGAAAAGTTTGCACAATATTTTTGGTAGACTAAAGTTTGAGAGCTTGGCAAACTTTTTCTGTAAATGTCCAGATAGTAAATATTGTTGACATTATAAGCCACCTATCTCTGTCACTACTCGACTCTGCCATTGTAGCACAAAAACAACCATGACGTCACTGAATGGGCATGGCTGTGTTTCAATAAAACTTTATTTATAAAAACAGGCAGCAAACTTACATGTTGTAGTTTTTCACCCCTAAACCTATATTATAAAAGCACTCAAAGAAACCAAGAAGAATGTTTCTGACAGGAACTGTATTAAGGCACGAGAAAGAGAAAGCAAAAGGAAAAGATTTGTAGACAAAATTAGTATCTAGAATCTCTTTAAAATTTTTTTTAAATGCTTGACAATAAATAAGAACAAGGCAATCTAACAGGAAAATGAGGAAAGGCTTCGATTAGACATTCATAAAGAGAAAACTCATATGGTTTATAAACAATGGAGACTTTCAACCCTACAAGTTGAAATTAGGGAAATATAAATTAAAATGACAATGTGAGACTACTTGGCAACCATAATGGCAAACTTAAGTTTCACTCTATCGAGCATTAGCGAAGGTGTGGGAAATATATCCTCCAACACACAGAAACTGGAAGTGAGAATTAGCACAGCCTTTTGGAAGTTTAATTTGGCAATTCTTCTTAAATTTAAAAATTATATTTCCTAAGACCTGATCATCTCATCGCTTAATTTGTATTTGAATCAGATAGTGCTTGTGTGTAATAAAAGACATACAAGGATATGTATTGCATTACTCCTAATAACATTGAAAAATTGGAAGCAACCAAGGTCTCCTAGTTAAAGAGACA